GGGTCTTGCATTCAAGGGTGATAACATTTAAAAAGAAAAGTTCAGAGCAAAAAAACATTTAAAAAGAAAAGTTCAGACCTCACTTTTAAGGTCTGCAAACCTTGATGGAGAATGTTTGCTCTTCCTGAGTGAGGCTCCCTTCCTGGCACACCAGACACCAGCCCCTCATGTTCTCGCTGATGTGGGCAATAGAACCAGAGGCAGGAATGCAGAAAAGCACCTTTTATACAGGAAGGGGGACTTAAAGTAAGGGGGTTAAGTGGGGTTTCTGGTTTTGAAAATGACTGACTTGTAGCTTCTCTCAAAACCAACACATCCTCTTCTTCCTGCCTGATCCCCGCACCTCTCTGGTCCTGGACCAATCCTCCCCAGGGGACTGTCCCAATCCACATGCTGGCTGAGCTCAGGAACTGGCAGACCGCCTCTGGGTGGGGCTGCGGCTTCATCCTTACAAGCCCTCAACAGTGATCCAGGGCCCTGGACGCAAGGGCAGAAGCCAAGCTGGGGAGTGACCTGTCCCCTCAACAATATCCAGGATGCAGCAGCCACGTGTCTGGACAGGGAGAGGCACTGGCTGGCATCCAGGCGCACAGGTGCCCACCCTGTCACCACGCCGGCAGGACAGCCCTGGGTACCGGCACAGCTGCTGGAGGCTGCAGGTGCGACCTGCAGTTCCCACTGCACAGCAGAACTGCCTCTGCTCCCCGCCTTTTTAAACACCCCACGGACACCCCATAGTAACACAGGGAGAATTATGTCTGTTTCCAGGTGCGAGGCTCCTCCCAATAGGGAGACTGTTCTTGACAACCCCCAAAGGTCCCCTCCTCCCAGGGCCCTGACATGTGCCCACCTGCTGGGGAGCACTGATGCTGTGCCTTGTGACCTGCTGGGCTGCATAAGGGACCTGAAGGGGTCACGCAGCCAGACAGATACCAGACTCTGCTGGGGGAGACTGGCCCTGAGAACCACACTGAGGGGCACACCAGTTGGGCAGTGCTGGGCTGAAGGCTTTGCTGCCAGGAGCAATTCCCTGGCTAGGTCCCCAGCTGTGTCCAGACCCAAGAGGAGTTGCTCACCACTGAGGGGACTTTCCTTTTGGGACTCTGCTGGACCCCTCCTCTGAGGTTGGTCTTCTGGCCTTGGCTAGGCTTTGTGGGATCACTCCCTGGAACAGCCAGAAATCTGTTCACATAAGCAGGGCCCTGGGCTTTGAGCCAGCCAAATGGTCAAAGCAGAGGAGGTAGATGCCAGGGCTCCTGAGGCAGAGCAGCCAGCATGGCGTCCCTCCTTCTGAGGGGCCACCCCCACCCCAGGGCCGCTCAGCCTGGAGCCACAGCACAGGGATGCCTGCTTATCTCCCCAACTCACAGGGTGGCCTTAGGCAAGTCATACCTCCCTGTGCCTCGGGCATCTCCTGTCCTAAAAGGTCGCCTCTGGGCATCCAGAGCAGGGCCGGCCCTCCAGCGCCCCTCGCGCCTCCTCTCCAGCGGCCTCGGCGCCCGGGTCACCATCACACGACGTTTCTCGAAGCCTGTGGATTCCCAGGCCATGCACAGCCAGACTTTTGCATTTTTTTTTTTTTTAAAGAAAGAAAAGAAACATTACCAGGATGTGAGATTCTATGGCATCTAGCCCTGAAAGGACAGATACAGGCGTCACCCAAATCCCAACTGAGGCCCCACGCCTGGCCTCCGAAGCCAGGAGGTGGGGGTCAGCTTCAGAAGGAAACGGCCATTTTCATTCGTCCAAACCACCTTGAGTTTTAAGTATGAATATTACTCTTGATGCTTTTTAACTATTGTATTAACTTGCTGAGATTTAGAAATACTGTTTTAAAAAAGAAAAAAAAAACACTTTTTTAATTTCTGTATTTTTTTCTGTATTGTATCCTCATGGGACATTAGGGGTTTTATATGGTAAGCACACCTAAGGTTTTGGTAAAAACATTATCAAATATATATCCAGACGATTCTTCCCTTGAAGAAAAACAACCTTTACACCTGATAAAATATTTTGAAAAGAGAGGTGTTTTTTTCCTTTATTGGTGCTGAAAGGAAGGACGGATAATGAGGAGAAAATAAAACTGTGAGGCTCAAGGTTTGCGGTCTCCACTTATTTGTGTGACAAGCGGTGGCTGGGCAGCCAGACGGGGGGGGGGGGGGGGGG